TCAGCTTGCACCCGGGTCAGTGCCAGCTCGTGTGAGGTGTGACCTGCCCACTGTGGCAGCTCATTTCACTTGGTGCTGGAGAAGCCCAGCAGTGCCCGTGTCCCCTCCCCCTATTTACTCGCTATAGCAACCACCTGTTGCATAACTAGCCACAGTTTTGGCAATGTGAAGCCTCGGACAACTTCCCTGATGATTTTTTCCCCCCCACCCATGCTGTGACCCTTAGACAGAACTAAGGAGGAGTGCCGGTTACCATTGGGGGCCCCTCTGAGTCTTAATGTCTGCACTTGCTCTGTTTGTGTACCGTATTTTGTCAGCAAAGCTGGATAGTTCAGGTCCAGAGAGTAAAAGTCCACACCAAGGTTTTGTTTCAACCGACCAGTTGAGTACTCTGACTGTGATTCTCTTTATACTTGCCTGGTTGGTTGAAATAAAATCTTGGTCTGGACCCACCTCTGCCTGTCACTGTCATGCCACTTTGCTTTTCTCTTAGCCGCTGCAGGAAGTGTGTCAGCCTGAGCAGGTGCCTGTTCCACTCCCTGCTGCCGGCGGGGAGAGTCCCCCCCCCAAAGAGCACAGACCCCCTTCCTTTCTGCCCCCTTTGCACCTCATAGTGCTGTGGTCTCTAAGACCTGTATGTTACTCAGTTTCCCTGGAGCCATCTTACCGATTCTTGTCTCTAAAGCATTAAACACCATTAAAGTATCGATGTATGAATGTAGCCATGAGCTTAGCCAAAAAAGCCTTTTTTTTTTTTCTTTTTTTTTTTTTAAATACTTGTGAAAGACTGCAACCTGTGAGATCAGGCTATTTATTGCATATCTGAAATATGGTGTATTTCTTTTTATATTGCTTCCCATTAAGATGGTACTAAATACACAAGGATTGCCGCCCCCCCCCCCCCCCCCCCCCCGTTTGTTCGTACTGCCCACTGAATGTTTCCCCATGAACTTGAGAAATCGTTGAATGTGAAAAAAGAAGCCTGGCGATTTATGCAAGAACCTCCTGTACTTTCTGAGGACATTCCTGAGCCCCGTGAGGCGCTCGCTGCACAGCGGCTCCTTGTTTTTGTTTCTTATCAAAATGCCAGTTTTGGTTTTCACCTCTTTAATGCTTTAGCCGTAGTCTGGCCACGAGCGCTGGAAAACGTGTGTTTTGGTTGCTGTCCAGTATTCCATATGGCTATTTTCACACTCGGTTTCGAGTGGAGTTTCATTATATAACAACTCCTACGTGGTTCTGTTCTGGGTTGTGGTTGCCTTGGCAACAGAGCCTGCACTTTCCTTGCTGTCCACGCGAGGGGGTGATGTAAGAAGGCCACTCTCATATTGACACCCCCGAAACGTGGCCAGCTATATTTATGGCACGCTGACATTGGCGCTCTGCTCGCGGGCGTGTTTCCGTAATCGCTGCGTGTCGTTACTGTCTGCAGCTTTGCTTTCCAAGAGCAGAAGCTGAACCTTTATCTTGTTAGGCTTCTCTAAAGCATGGAGATGGCTGAAATCCTTGCAGTACTACAGGCTGCTTCCTCTTGCTTTGTATGGTTGCTGTGTCAGTGTTACAGGCCTGTCTCAGCCATAAACCCAATCTCCTGGATGTCTGTCGGTCACCACGTTGTGTTCCTCTCCTCATGCCCCAGTCTCTCTTCCCCCGCACGCAAGCGCCTGCCTGTGTGTCTGTCGGTCACCGTGTTTTGTTCTTCTCCTCGTGCCCCATTCTCCTACACGCCTGTCTGTCAGTCGCCATATCGTGTTCCTCTCCTCGTGCCCCGATCTTCTCCCACCCCCTGTCTGTCGGTCACCGTGTTTCGTTGTTCTCCTCGTGCCCCGATCTTCTCCCACCCCCTGTCTGTTGGTTGCCGTGTTTCGTTCCTCTCCTCGTGCCCCATTCTCTTCCCACATGCCTGCCTGCCTGCCTGTGTGTCTGTCGGTCACCGTGTTTCGTTCCTCTCCTCGTGTCCCTTTCTCTTCCCGCACGCCTGCCTGCCTGCCTGTCTGTCGGTTGCCGTGTCGTGTTCCTCTCCGCCTGAGCTCTGTTGACATGCCAGCGATGGGACGGGTGACGAGTCCGTCTATTTCAGGACCGCCGGCAGCCTGACCCCCCGTTTCTCCTCTCTGAGGCTGCCTTCGGTTTCTTCGTTTATCAGTTTCAAGTCCTGACTGCTGAATTGGCCAGTTATGGTCTTTGTTTTGACAGTACACTATACAGTAGAACCTTGGAACTCAAACGCCTCTTAACTCGACCGACTCGGACATCGGGTCTGTTGAATTTTTTTCGACTTGAACCCTGACCAAAATCTTAGAACTCGACCATTCCTGGTAAAACTTGTATGGGTCGAGACGCGCTCAACTTGAATGGTTCGGTCGAGAAAAATTGACATGTCTACAAGGGCAAACGGGTTTGCTTATGCTTATGAACTGCTTTCAGTCTCGCGGTACCTCTTTCAGTTTGACGTTCAAAAGCTGTATTCCTCTGTTTTTAGTGCTTTATCTACAGTCCTTTTAGTGGTACAGTAATCATGGCCCCTACGAAAGTGAGCAGTGATAGTAGCAAACCAGAGAGGAAAGTACTGAGAGTAACTGCAGAACTTAATTTCCTTTTTGAGACTTGAATGTGGTGCGTGTGTGTCTGGGATTGTCATTTATTTAATGTTTATTGCTTTTGTATGTGTGATTTCCCCCCCACACACGTCGTATTACTTTTAATATTGATTGTCAGTGCTTTTTATCATTAGTCAGGGCAGTAGATACGTTTAAATATGCAATTAATTGGGGGTCTGGAATGAATTAAATTCATGTGCATTATTTATTATGAGGAAATACGATTTGGACCTCGACCAAATCGCAACTCGACCAGCCTTCTGGAATGAATTAGGTTCATGTTCCAAGGTACCACTGTACTACATTCCTCCCCTCCTCCCCCCCCCCCCATGTTGTGTGCACTCAGGGTTGCCCACAGAGGCATACGAACTCTCATGCACACGGCAAAGTGAGAGTCCGTATCGTTGGCCGTAGCGACAGAGAGCCGTGCATCCCGGGTGGCGGTTTCTGGGTGATGGTGATGCTCTGTGGATGTAGCCTGATGATCGGCTGGATCATGGTAGATCCTGTTGTCCTCCACCATCCCCTGCATCTGTGTGACTGTTTGTTTTCCCCCAACGCCTTCGGTTTTGACAATTGGAAGTGCTGCATCATGGGATAGAAAGTGACATGACAGAGCAGGCAGAACCTCAGCATGGCCGTGCTGTTGGCCTCCAGTACCCATGGGCTGTTAGTTTTGGCAGAATTTATGAACTCCAGAGCTGCTGTGGGCAAACTGTGTCTTTTGGAACTCCAGACAGACGTCTTATTTTGTCTGTGATCAGCCACGTGATTAGCATGCATACTCTATGGCTGTTGTACTGTTCTCTGCTCACACCTATATATGTGCATTCAGTGATGATTGCTTCACTCAGTGCTAAATGCTTAGGTATCACAGTAACGTCGCTGCTCCTGTCCTGCCTCCTCCACAGCTCCGCCTTCGACCACAACAGCAACGTCCGTGTGGCCATCAAGAAAATCAGCCCGTTTGAGCACCAGACCTACTGCCAGCGAACCCTGAGGGAGATCAAGATCCTGTTGCGCTTCAAACATGAGAACATCATCGGCATCAACGACATCATCCGCCCCCCCTCCATTGACCAGATGAAAGATGTGTATCCTGCAAATGCAGCTGCTCATGACCGTTCGGTTGGCTTGCGTGTGTAGGGCTGCACCACATGGGGGGCCAAGGAACCCCTTTTGGTCTTAAGGTTTAACCCTGGTTTTTATGATTAAGAAATTGACTGCTTGAGTTGGGAGGGGGGGCTTTTCCAGTCCAGTTGGGCTTTAAATGGCATAGTGGTGATCAATCTTTAAAAAAAAAAGGAAAAAAAAAAGCCATTTGACTAATGGCCTATCAGTCATCTTCATCTAATAAATTAAATTTACCTGAATTGAACAAATAGTTTTCAGATTTATTGAAACTACCTGGGGCAAAGTACTGGCACTCGTGCCTGTGGATTTTGACATCCTGTAAAACGTGAAACCATCACTTACCTGCAAGGTATCTGTGCCAAGGTGTTTTCATAATACTCATCTAGTCAATAAATCGCCTGACTCCGCCAATAACTTGTAAAGTAGTAGTGCAAATGTCCAATTAAAGAATGTGGAAATAAAAGAAGAGACAAACGGACAACTGGCAACATCATTGAAGGGTAATTTGGAGGGACTATGAGGGCAGTGGCGGACTTAGAGGTTGGAGGGTTGACTGGGGGGGCGGGGTACTGAGCACCCTGACTGTCTTTCCTGCTGCCCGTGTGTCACTGATATATCTAATGGTACTGGATGTGCTAAATGTGCTAGATAAGTGCCTTCTGGGTGCATTCAAGTCAAGGAGCTGGGGTGTGGCTAAGAGAACCAAATCATTCTGTTTGTAGTGGCATGAGTTGAATATGCCAGCCTGACATGAAGATGATATACACAGTGGACACTCTTAGCTATGAATGCAAATGGCAAATATTGTGGTTGCAAGTGAAAATGTACAGCATGCATACAGGGTGAAGAGGCTCAGTTGCTGTCTCGCTCAGCATTCGGTTAGTTAAGACTTTTAGTCTGAGTAGTTTTAAACACATTGCTGCTAGATGTGCTGGTTGTAGCATCTCAAGCTGCTGCCCTGCGGCCTGGGATTTTCATGCACTACGGAGTTTACAGAGAATGGTGTGATAAACAAGGCATCTAATCGGCTGCTTTATTTTTGAAAGCACCATTTTGCGAAGAGAGGTCAGGAGAGAAAGGTCAGATTTGTTATAGTTAAAGGCCATAAGTGCAAAAATGTCCTAGAAATAGTTCACAAGGCAAGAATAGTGTTGATATATAGGGGCAAGAAAAACAACCTATACCATGGCCACTGTGTATGTGTGAAAGTGAGACATTAATCACACAAATATGTTGTGAGGAAATGGGGCTGATTTTGTTGACTTTAATGCTCCTCCCACCCAGTTTCACAGGTCATGTGATGGTGATGGGGGGCAGAATGTGTGGTGGATAACTTGCAGGTATTGAACTGCCCTGTAGGAGGTGCTGATGTAGCAGGTCCCTGAGAAAGCCTGGGGAGTATTTGAGACCTGATTAGTTTTAACCATCAGGGTCCCTCCATGTCCTGAGAATGACGACTTTGGTCCACTTGGAGTTTCCCTTAACATTCAAACCACAGCTACATCGTCCAGGACCTCATGGAAACAGACCTATACAAGCTGCTGAAGACGCAGCATCTTAGCAATGACCACATCTGCTACTTTCTCTACCAGATCCTGAGAGGTCTGAAGTACATCCACTCGGCCAATGTGCTGCACCGTGACCTGAAGCCCTCCAACCTGCTCCTCAACACTACCTGTGATCTGAAGGTCTTGCTCCCACGCCCTCCCCCCACTCAGTGTACTTCTCTCTACGGTTCACCCCCAACCTGCTGTGTCCTAACAGTCTCTCCACCATTCTCCACACCCCCCACCCCATGTCCTGCTCCAACTTTGGCTGTAGATGTGGATGGTTGTGGTTGCTGCATGCATATAGCAGTGATAGACCAGTAGAGGGCAGATGTACAAATTCAAATAGTGTAGTGAAACAGGTAAACTTTTGTCAATAGTTTTAATGTTATTAGTCTGACGCGATATTACAGTAATAAGGCATACCACAATATTTTGATACGCTTATGAGAAAATTAGCTGGGGGAAAATTTTTTACCCCAACCCACTCAGTGAATTTTATTGCCAAGATTAAAAAATGCCAGAATAGTGCTGCTTTGTAAAATACCACATGCCTCTCTTCATACTGTCCAGACATTATAATTACATTTGCACGTATCCTCCTCATGCAGCTGTTCATGATAACTACTGCTACTACAGTAACTATTCTTCCTTTACTCCTTCGTCGTTGACTGCTGACCTGTGAAACTCCACGCTGCCCCTTACTGGAAATGCCTAATCAGTCATGTTGCACATGTACAGCTGATGCGCACAGATGCGCAAGGTGTCCACTAGACATAAAAATCTGGGTTATGCTCACACTGACTGCAACCGTCCACCTCCACCCCCTAACGACAATATTTATGTCCCGTCTGCAACCGAAATCACGCAAAAAAAAAAAGAGAAGTATGAGTTGTCCTTCAACTCATACTTCAACTGTGGTCTGCTATATGCATGCAGCAACCACAACCATCCACATGCATCAGTTGTGCTGCATTTCAAAGGTTATTGCTACAGTGCTTCCCATTCATGTTTATATGGAGGACGAAACATGACGTAATCATAAACAAACAAATAAGTAGTTTTTTAATTCAAAGATTTATAGAAAAATAAATGTATTACTTTCTGTTCCAAAGATTTTTTTAGAATTGTTTTATTCCTAATATTTTTTATTCATCTGCATGTAAATGAGGTAGGCAGCCCTAACCCTAACCCTAACCCTTTTTCTAAAGCACTATTGGCCAGGGGGACTTTCCTGATCTGTGCTCCATTACCTTGGCCTTGCTTGGATGAGAAGAAACGCTAATTGGCATTCTTGTTAGCAATGCTAAGTTCCCACTACATGACTTTCCAAATCGTCAGATCGCTGTACTGTTCATATTTATGAGGTTCCATTTGTGCCAGAATTTCAATAGCTCACTGTTCATGTCGACTGAACATCTAATGAACGATTTGTCTGTGCGTATTCAACTTTGAACTCTACTTCAGCTGTGACAAATCTATTTTGACAATGAGATTGTCTGCGTTTGTTTGCGCACCTGACAAAACAGTTCAACTTTGAATTGTACTTCTGTCGTCTTAGTCCTCCCTGTCGTTTGACTTCTGTTGCATGTCGACCAAATATGTCAACACGTTATCCTTGTCGTTTGACTGTGTCGTTCTGCATGTCATCCTGATGTCGTTTAACTATGCTGTCCTGCATGTTTGATATGTCATTCTCGTTGTTTATACATTATCGATGTAATGCTTTTGTCGTCTTGCGTCACATCCTGCTTTATTATGCTGTCTGTCCCTGAATCCCACGTAGACCAATTCAAATGTATTTGGTTAGCACATTTTCATATGCTAGATGTGCAGGTGAACTACGTGACTGACAAACTAGAAAAAGTAAAGGAATCCTAACTTTATTTTGACAGAAGTAGCCTTTGCAGGTTGTTGAATATCCATGTAAAAACAAGAGCGTATTGGAGAATGATTGGTGTATTTGAGAATGTTACAAGAAGGAGTCACAGCGCAGACAGAGACAATGATACAGCAGGGCAAGAACAACATAACGCATCAAGACGACATTCGTAAGTGAGACACATTTGGACGACATACATAATGACGCAGTCAACAAGGAGGACAACGAATTATGTGCTAAGACAACAAAGTACAGTTTAAAGTTGAACTGACAGAAAAATGTTTTCTTTCCTGTTCAATCGACATGCATATCGACACATCTTTGGCACAAATGGAACCCCATACATAAGAACGGTATAGTGATCTGACAACTTGGAAAGTCGTGTGGTGTGAACTTGGTATTACTAAGATCTAGCATTCTATGCCATCTAGCATTTCTTGTCATCCAAGCAAAGCCCAGGTAATGGAGCGCAGGTCAGCAAATCAGTCTCTCTGGCCGATCTATTGTATTGATTGATTTATTTGTAATTGTCAGATTTCGTCTTCCATGTTTCTAGCCATTACAAATGAGGAAAAATTCAAAGTTAACTTTCATCTTCGTTATAGACACGGAATGGGGTTAATGTACATGCATTGAGGGAGTGATGTAGGCTTATGTTTGCTTTGGTTGTTGCTCCATTGCTCACTAAGGTGATGCTTGTTTGGTGCCCCCCCCCCCCCGTAGATCTGTGATTTTGGGCTGGCCCGCGTGGCAGACCCTGATCACGACCACACAGGCTTCCTCACGGAGTATGTGGCCACGCGCTGGTACCGGGCGCCTGAGATCATGCTCAACTCCAAGGTGAGTGGCTGTGGTCTTTTTTGGTCTTTATTTTTTTATTTTATTTTTTAAATCCAGATTACTATAATTTATAAAGGATTATGGGAATATCTGTGCGTAAAAGGAAATTTTGGGGTAAAACCCTTCGGTCAGTTTTTTTTCCCCCAGTGAATATCTGATGCCTTTAATGTATACGCTGTTCCCTGTCAAATTTAAAGTTTCCTATGCCATATAGCTTACTCTAGCTGGAGATCATCTTTATTACCACTTAAGATTTTGATGTATTGTTCCAAACATTTTTGGATCGTGTCTGATTCAATGTGGAGCGTTTCTGTTAGGATATTTTGCCTTATGGCTCTGGGTGCAATGTGTGAGAGGGTTGGATTGATGGCCGCCAGTGCCTGAATCGGCACGTTAATCAATGCCAGACCCCCTATTTTTCTAAAGTAATTAAAGTCGTGCACAAAGCCTGTTTTTTTTTCCCCTCTTTTCCTTGTACTAACTATGTTATTGGGTGACCATTCAATCAGGGGCTGTTGCCACAGATCCCTCAGCTTAAATGATGTTTTGCTGCCTGGTAGGGATGTCATTGTCCATTTATTAACATTCGAGCAATCTACTGATTTACTGTAATGATTAATCAAATACAGTGGTACCTTGGAACACAAACTTAATTTGTTCCACAAGGCTGGTCAAGTTGCGATTTGGTCGAGGTCCAAGTCAAATTTCCCCGTAAGTAATAATGTTAAATGAATTTAATACGTTCCAGACTCCCAAATGATTGCCTATTTAAATGTACCTACCTACCTAGTGATAAAAACATTAACGATCAATATAAAACTAATACACACACGAAATAGCACACATGCAAAAGCGTTAAACATGAAATGAATGACAAACCCATACTCTGAAGCGAGAGCTGATGCACGTTCACCACCTTCAAGAGGCGTTCGGGTTCCTAGGATCTGCTGTAATTGTTTCTAAGATATGTATAGCAATTGGCACAAGGCGGGAACCAATCCAGGAATCACCTGCCTTTTGCAGGTGCACAGTCACTCACACTCACATACGGTCAAATTAGACACTCAGTTCCCTGACGTTGAATGTTTTTGGACTGTGGGAGGCGGCCTACATCGAAAACATACTGTGCCCTCTAAGGTTGTGAAATGACACGGAATGAACAAGGTGGCGACATCGTTTTTAAGTGCGTGACAGACTGCGCTCGCTGACATGTTTGATTTTGTACAGACGTTATTTTGAAGTGCGTGGCCGCCTTAAACTCGCAATGCACGATGTTAATATTAACATTGCATGTTATGCACATTTGGTTATCTCATTTAAGGACTGTCATAGTCAGCTAGGTTAAGACAATAACTTTGGCACAAACATTTTTGCCATGACAGGAACCAAAACTTCTCTGCAATTTTAAAGGCACTGTAGAATGAAAATCTGACTACCTCAGCATAGTTGAATAAGGAGAGTTCAGTACATGGAACTGACATACTGTGAATTGCACACACTGCAATTTCTGCTTTCAAATTTAAATCCTGCAGATGTAAAATGTGGGAAAAAATCAGTTTGTTGTGTAAGTCTTAACTACACCACAAGCTTAACATAGCAGCCCATTTTCAAGCCTAGTGCGTCTGCATAACATGCAGCATGTCTCCTCTTTCAATGTGCCTAAATGCACAACTTCACAAGGGCACCTGGCAATGAAAAACATATGCTAACAGTCATTAATGTAAGGTTATTTATTTCTAGTAGGCTAAAAAGGTAAGTCCTGTTCAGGGGAATTTTTCCCAACAGCTCCCATGAGTAACTTACATAATTGGAACCTTTCAGTTATATGGTTCCAACTTTGTAAGTTGCTAACATTGTTAGCGACTGTGCTTTTGGGAAACGTACCCCAGGTTAGCAGGGGATTATTAAACAAAACGAAGTCTGTGATACTGACATTGATAAGAGACTTCTGTACTGCCTGTAGCCTATTTTTGGTTAACTAAACAAATATCTAATCAACACGGAAGTCAGTCATTTAAAGTAGCAGTCCAAGTTCATTACGAATGACGTTTACAAGCTGCTCAGCTTGCTGATTGGAGTGCTTGATAAAAATTGCATGACAAAGCTAGCGTCGTGAAATCATTTGTTGACTGAGATTTAAAATAATTGCAATGTTAAAAACAGTCATGGCTATGCTAACACTATGCCTGCATTATGCAAGAAGGTAGAAGCTCACAAACCTTCTATGTAGACACCAGAGAGCAATTTAAATTTTAAAATACTTGAAAAATGCATTCTATGCCACCTTTTAACTGAGTTCTTTTTCTGATATCATCTACTAAATCTAGATGACAACGAATGACTCAGTCAAAAGTTTCCCTCCACTGCTGCTGCATGAGCTTTGCATTCATTCTCCAAGATGGTCATCATTTTTCGTCCTTGTTGTTGGACCTACTCATAGTGTGGTGCATTTGTGAGAAATTAAACAAGAATTAGTGAGGAGGAAAAATGCTAACAAGAACTGATCACAAAGACATTCATCTTCCGTAGAGGGAATATTGAGCAAAAGCAAGTGATTTGCCAGCATTGCTTTGTATCAGTGCAGCTCGCCGCAACATCACCAACTTATTTGACAGATACCTGGTCGTAGTGCACCAATAGTATGTTCAAATTGCTCAAAGCTTTTGTGGAAACTGAGTACCTCAAAATATTTGAGTACGTTAAATGTTTTTGTCCAGTTTAAAGTGCTAAAAAATTAATCACTGACTAGTATAATTTTAAAAATTAAGTAAACTTAAAAACTCCAAGTAGGTTATACAAAGTTTCTAGTTTTTTAATAGTTAATTTGCATAAATGATACCTGATCATTTTGAGTTCTGTTCATGCAATAAAACTGAATGTGTAAAACTCATTGCCAAATTTTGAGTTCACATGACTCATTACTTTTATACATTAGACACACATAGCTGTTCAGTTTTGTGTTTTTATTTAACAAGCAACTGTCACTGCAAAGCAGGGCTGCCCCATCCTGCTCCTGGAGATCCACCAACCTACAGAGCTTAGCTGCAGCCCTTATTTAACACAGCTGATACAGATAATCAGGCCCTTCAATAGCATCTCAATATTAGTCAGCTATGTTGAAGCTAAGCTTCAACTAAAACGGAGATATTACTGAAGGACCTGGTTATCTGTATCGTGACCATGAGTTTCTCAAGAAAATGTCTGACATCCAAGTGTAAAAATTACTGCAGACAAACAGCATAATACATGAATGGAGGAGTACAGACCCTGTCATTATTTTTTTTGGTACTGGAATCAGAGTATGGGAATTTACAAAGTGCAACATTGTGGCAGTAATGGTATTCTAGAAAAGACAAAAAAACCAAAATTTCAGGACAAAGAATACATGTTTTGATTAGTTTGGGAATCACACAGCAAGCGACTGAAAAACAGTGAAAGTTCTATCAGTTCTATTAAGGCACTCAATACTGACATCCCTTCAGAAACTGTGGCCTGTCCTCAAGCAGGTAAACTGGTTACAGTGTGTCTTGTGTTAATGTCATGGACTTTCTAGAAAGACAAGCAAAAAAAAAAAAATGCATTTATAATACAAATGTTTAACCTGACCATCCCGCACTGGCCTTGACTGAGATGTATGGGCAACCAAAGTAGCAGTTAAGCTAGAAGCAAACGGCAAGTAGAAATGGCTCGCAGTGAGAAGACCTTCATAATATGATGCAAGACTGAATCTGGCCAAGGCTCACATGGCCAGCAATGACAACATATTGACTTGCTTTATATGATCTGTTTATGTGCATTAAAGACAGTGATAACAGTAGTGAACACTGGCAATCGTAGACTCTGCTGTCGCTGGCATTTTAGGCATAAATGGTTTAACTGACCTGGAAATCATAAACCTTCAGGTTGTCATGCAGCATCTCTGCTGTCCTGCCTGTATGTGAAGTTCTCTTGTCTGGTCAAGGTCACTAAACACACTGTGCTGGTCAAGCTCAGCATAAAACTGCTTCTGAAAGAATCATGTACACCATAAAAAAATTAAAAATAGTTAACAGGTAAAATCAGCTTGGTAATGAATGGATTAATATGAAATTGACTGACTGTCTCATCAGGAAGTTATTAAATCAGCCAGGAAAATACATTTAGAGAAAGAAAACATACCCTCAGATGCCTTGTTTGAGAAGTTAACTGCTCACCATCTACAGGAATGTGTAATAAAATGGCACAAAGCTTGAATGCAGGACTTACAATGTTTTATTATACAAAGAATATATTATTTTCCCCCTGAACTGTTATACTTTTAAGCGTAATGTAACATTTAAGTACACCCTTATCCAGCAATGTAAAGGTACAACTTGGCTACATTTAATAATAATGAATAATAATATAAAAATAAAATACAAATGGTGCTAAGTTAAACTGCCATGCGATGTGTACTTGACAAAATCATAATTGTACAAATGTAGATATTCCATCAACATCACCATATTAGTCTGGCCAATTTTACCATTAAGATTTACATAAGGCATAGATTTCAGCTAAAAAGGCATTGAAGATTATGCAGTGCTGTATTTAGCATGTAGTTCATTAAAGTAAAAGAACGTTATCTGTGGATGAAACAAAATCTAAAGTTACTGGAGTCATGTACAGTAGACCACCCGTATCGCGGGTGATATTTTCCAAGACCAACCAAAGATATTAGCGAACCATCCGTGGGTCCTGTATACTACGTGATTTAAGTGAAGTCAAGAGCTAATATTGCACTGCAAAAATATGTATCGGGATGATTGAGCAAAATCAAGCTTTTCATATGCCAAAGGAGCAATGAAAAAACACAGGCTACTGTTAAGCATTTTGCAATGAAAAGTATCATAAACCTGTACAGAACATGTAATAAGAATATTATTTTATTTTTGCTTACTCAAAAATAATAATTGGACTACTGCTGTTTACTCTTAAATAGTCATTAAAATAAAAATTGACACCTAGTTCAAACTGCCCAATTTGTGTTTGATTAACTAGGTGGATGATTTTTATTAATATGCAGTTGTCATGTGTTAGTACTGTTCGGGTTTACCATGTAGATAAATTCTGTTTGTGTTGCAGTTTTAATCACAAAAATTTCAAAGTAAACTTTCTGGTATCATTTCTGTGTGTTTGTTGATTCTTCCATGTCCCACTCTTGCCAGTGTGGGGAAGCAATAAAAAAGGCCAATTCAATACATGCATGGATACAGTCACAAAATAGAATAATAAAATATACACTCCTTAGATGTTTATATGATACAAACTCTCACACAAAAGTTGGCGCTGGTGAATTCTCGAATCTGAAGGATATTGATTAATTTTCTATACTTGTACTTGTTGAGTTGGCTAGGTGAATCACAGTAGTAAATAAATGTGCAGTTATAATCTTCTATAATCTCCACTATGCGTTGTCCCATTCTTTTGCCTTCTGGCATGTGTTTAAAAAAGTATAATGCACAGCTTGTGGTATTAACCCTTAATTATGACTTGTGTACAATTTGATGTTAGCCTGCAGTGACTAAGTTACAGGGTTAGCCCTTTCCCCCACCTCGGCTGCTTGGACCGTATCAGTGTGTTCGTGGTTCCTGTGTACAAGTCCCTGCTGATCCAAACCAGCCCGCAAGAACATCAGAGTGTGGCCAGCTGGTGCCGTTTCGGCTCCCCAAGACTGCTTCGACTCAGCAGACTGGGATATTTTGAGGGAGGCTGCCACTAATGGTGACTCCATCAACCTGGAGGAGTGCACAGACTCTGTGATGGGTTACATCACCAAGTGCATAGAGGATGTCACTGTATCCAAGGATGTCACCACGAGAGCCAACGAAAAGCCCTGGATGACGAGAGAAGTGCGCATGCTGCTGAAGACCAGAAGTGTTTTCGGATCTGGAAACAGGGCTGCTCAGAGCGGCCAGAGCTAATCTGTCTCGGGCGTTGAGGAGCACTAAGCGGGGCCTACGTGCAGAGAATCAACAAACACTTTAATAGCACCAACACATCTTAAAGCCAGGCGTCTGTCTCAGGGTGCTTCAAATCCACCGGCATCATCCCAGCGCTGAAGAAGTCATCAGTGACGTGCCTGAATGACGACCAACCCGTCGCACTCGCATGTAGTGCTTCGAAAAGCTGGTCATGGCACATAAAGACAAATCTGCCCGCCTCTCTAGACCCCCTCCAGTTTGCTTACCAGTCCAGCAGGTCCACTGAGGATGCCATTTCCTCTGCCCTCCACCTCTCCCTGACACATCTGGACAAAAAAAATATATATACACTTATGTTAGGATGCTGTTCATAGACTTTAGCTCCGCCTTCAACACAGTCATCCCTCAAAAGCTGATTGTGAAACTGAGTGGATTAGGTCTGAACACCACTCTCTGCAGTTGGATTCTGGATTTCCTGACAGAGAGGCTCCAGCCTGTGAGACTGGGCTGCAGCACCTCCAGCACCATCACGCTGAGTAAAAGAGCTCCATAGGCTGTGTACTCAGTCCTCTGCTTTTCACTCTGCTGACTCAGGACTGCACAGCTGCACACAACTCCAACCACATCATCGAGTTTGTGGATGATATGACTGTGCTTGGACTGATAAGCTGGGATGTTGAATCTTCCCACAGGGAGGAGGTGGAACGGCTGTCCGTATGGTGCAGGGCCAACAACCTGTCTCTCAGCGTCGACAAGACTAAGGAGATTTGTGGACTTCAGGAAGACCCATCCTGCACACATCCCACTCTATCAACGGGTCACCTGTGGAGATCGTAAGGAGCACCAAGTTCCTCGGCATGCGCATGTCTGGGGAACTTACGTGGACGAGCAACACCACCTCCTTAACCAAGGAAGCCCAGCAGAGACTCCACTTCCTGCGGCGGCTGAAGCGGGCGAGACTCCCCACTCCCATCCTCACCACCTTTTACAGAGGCACTGTCGCGAGCGTTCTGACCAGCTGCATCACTGCCTTTTATGGAAACTGCAATACGTCCGACCGCAAGCACCTGCAGCGAACAGTGGAGATAGCTGAGAACATTATCGGTGTGCTTCTTCCATCACTTCAGGAAGTGTTTCACAAGCACAGTGTTTGCAAGGCTTGCAACATGCAGGACTCTCCCCCCCCCCCACCCCTCGCATGGACTCTTCACCCTTCTGCCATCCAGGAGGAGATTCTGCAGCAGCAGAGCCAGGTCCCCCAGGTTGCGGGACACTTTTTACCCCCAGGCTGTGAGGCTCCTTAACACCACACCATCCATTGGGATCTTCAACACTGCCTCATCCACCTCTTAAAATACACATGCACAGCACTTTCCCATATACACGCCAAAAGCACTGGAAATTCACATTCCATCTGAGTATTTTTGCACACTGCATTTGTCACTTTGTCATGGCTCCAATTTAAACAGTCATCATTGTCCTATACTGTGTCTATCGATTCTCTTTGCTGTTATATATTCTAACTGGTCAGCTCTTACACAAACTCTTAAACGTGTTCTATGAACACCTGTTATTAAACACTGCTTCAATACCGTAAGCCATGCTGCTAATTGGATAAGCTGGAAGGTCAATTTTACTACTACCTCATATTGCATTTTATAATTTCTTTTTTTTCATATCTATAAATTGTTGTTAATTTTTTTATTCTTATTTGCGCTAGTATCTGTACACTGTAGCCATTTCGTCTCACTGTATAATTTATATGACTGAGATGACAATAAAGTTCACTTTCACTTTGACTTAAGTTTTAGCATTGGTTGTCTTGAGATGCAAGAATCATTAAGCTAGATAATTTAAGTTAGAATGATGACAAAGATAAGCTAGGCTACTCCGAGACTGAAGGGTGCGTAGCTTATAGTGGTCTATGGCTAATCCTATATTATTAGGCAAGTCTGTCAATGCCTTTTATGATGGTATTGCATTTGTCATGCTGTTGTGATTAAGTTCTGCTTTGCCATATTAACAGACTGCATTTTCATTCACTTTTAATGTGAAGTGCTCCCACAAAACTAAGGCTTTCGCTGGACCTGCATGTACTATGCTATCTTTAATCATTTATGTATATATAAAATTGAGTAGTTGAATTTAAATGCATAATCATGACTGCTCTTCTGCTTACTGTCCCTGCTGCAATGGATTTTCAGCAGTAATAAGTTTAATGATGAGTGCTGGCCGTTAAATTGCCGTACTAAACGGCAGGCCATTGTTACATGCTCTCATGGGGCTGGAGTATCTACGATTTACCCTGATTCCTACAGTTGGTGCTGGTGTTTGTATGTTCAAAGTTCATAGTTTGTGGAGTTCTATTCTCATGGCAACACGTTATTTTTAAAAAAAAAAAATTTTGTGGTTCCAGGGCTACACTAAATCCATCGACATCTGGTCAGTGGGCTGTATCCTGGCTGAAATGCTGTCCAACCGGCCAATCTTCCCAGGAAAGCATTACCTGGACCAACTGAATCATATTCTGGGTAAACTTTCATGTTACTTCCTCTAATGGGCAATGTAATTATGATGAATCAACTGTAATTATTAATTACAACATTCAGGAATTTTTGACTGAGGCAGTACAAATTTCGTGCTGAAAGAATTTGTGCACGTCACGATCTTTACCAGCAGTTTATTTTTCCCCAGCTCCTAAGGATGAGAGATAAGTGGGTCACTCTTTGATAACTTTGACATTAAAGTAGCTTTGCAGGAATGGTCATGCATTCTAGCATGAAAATGGGCCCTTTTTAGCCACTCTGGTGTGCAAAGCGATCAAGTGAAAGAATGAGCGATATAGACGTCAACAGTGGGAGGCACAGTGGTTCTTTGCAGAAGTTGGTTTGTCCTCGTCTTGCTTGATTACCATCCATATCTCATCAGAACTGCTTCCTTCTGCTGAAATTGCTGACTGTGCACCTCTGCTCAGAAACATGTAACATGGTGATCTGGCTGTAGGGCCAGGGTCGGACTTCTGGAGGCTGGAATTTGAGCTGTGCACTGAGGGTGTTGTCACTAGGGAACGCCAATCATGTCCTGGGGAAGAATCAGGAGGCTTCGCTGAGCAGAACAATAACTTGATGTCTACCTTTTGGTGCTTAATGTCGACACTGTAGCCTGTAGTAATCAGACACCTGGATCTTGTAAATTAGTCGTTTTGGTGCCATAAAGATTTGTTAGTCATTATGTTTCATATTGACACAAACCTTGCGAATACCTGTAAGAGACCAAGGTGCTGGCCTTCATTTGTTTGTGTTTCCCGCCATCTCTGCGCTCCTCCACAGGCTGCTAGTTTTGGCTCTTCTTCTGAACAGATGCCTCCTTAAGGATGGCTCTCGTCATTCCTATATTTGGATCATTCTTGATTCCGTTACCTATGTGGGACAGGCCATCCTGGGCAGTCATCAGTGTTCTTGTCTGTGCACAGCAGGCAGGATGTGTGGCCCCCACTGCTTCAGCCCCTCATGCTGCCTTGCTTTGTCTTTATAAAGGAGCAGCCCCCAGCAATAACCACGGCCACTTTATCTGCAGGCATGACTGTTGACATTTGTGTTGCTGTCACATTGCTCCCCTGCCAAACGAGAAGACATTAACTTGTCCGTCATCTACTGAGGCATGGAAGCCTTGGTGTATATATACCTTATTGACCTTGCTGTGTGTGTATATATTGATGTAGCTGTTAAGTTGCCACTTGTTCCCTGCAGGCATCCTGGGCTCACCCTCTCAGGAAGACCTCAACTGCATATTCAACCTCAAAGCCCGGAATTACCTGCTGTCTCTCCCTATGCGATGCAAAGTGCCCTGGAACAGACTCTTCCCCAATGCTGATCCGAAAGGTCAGCCTGCCCCGCTTTCCTTTCAGACTGTGCTCAAAAAGCCAATGGACGGTAGCCTCAAATGCCAGAAAATGTCCCAGTGTTTTATCTTAAATTTTGGTCTTGGGTTGAAAAGCAGGCTGCACAGCATAAAGCTTCTTATACTTCCATAACATCTATCCATAACTGGGCATCTTGTTCATGAAGCAAGTTTCCCTTAAAATGAGCTGGCCTCATGCTCCAGCCCCTGGCTACTCTGCCCCCTACTGGCTGTACGCATCTCTCAGGTACTTTTTTCTCTGTGTCTATGCTAGCTTTGGATTTGCTGGACAAAATGTTGACCTTTAACCCTCACAAGCGCATTGAAGTGGAGGAGGCCTTGGCCCACCCCTACCTGGAGCAGTATTACGACCCCACAGATGAGGTGAGCACTGCACTTTGCTTTGCGGGGTCTTGAAAGGGCAGTATTAACCCTTCGTTATTTTCCTAGCTGTTTTAAAATATTGTTTGGGTGCCAGTTTACCATCTCGTAATCACCACCCACTGGAGTGCATGCCAATAGAATTCAGCCTCGCATAACCCACCACAGCACAGTAGCTGTGATGTTTGCTTGGCGTTCATCCCTAAATGTCTCAAAGGGATTTTGAGGGAAGGCTGCGAGTTGTAATGCTACTAGTTGTACTATATTATATTCTTTTCTTTAGCGATTTGTATTTTTTGTGGCTATGCAGTCTGTTTGAATGCTTTCAGGAATCACTGGATCTTTTTTCCTGCCTTCAATACCAAATGATTTTGATCCCCTGTGTTCCTTATTAGGTGTATGTATTTGCTTGGCAAAATGTATCGCCAAGATTTAAAGTTGCCATTGCTTTCTGTCAACTAATCTGATCTTCCTTTGGTGCCTGTAATACCTCACCACAGTATTTTGCCACAGTAACAGGTTAAAATCCATTTGCCAGTCATATGTTTAATTTATTTTTGCTATAAACCCATGATTCTCTGAGAATAAGTCGTGCAGTATTTCCATAAAATTTTAGGTGCTGCACTGATCACAATGAATATTACAACAAACTTATGGGGTATTTTATCAGTCTTTAAATCAAATATTCCGAATTACTGCACTTAACATAAACGTCTATGTCAGGGGTCATCAATGATATTTGTCAGAGGGCCAGAGTTTTACCAGACAGTCTCCTTGGGGGCAGGACCCCTCAGAAGAAAATGAAATAAAAATCTAATTTTGGCTTAACATTATGTTTAATGTTTATACTTTTTCCATTTCATAGCCTAAATATAGTCATAAATGGTGGTTATTCTGGTAATTCTGACAAGAGACTCAGTTGTTGTTATTTTTAGTTGCTTTAATAGTGTGGACCACTATTTTCTTTTTGATCCTCACAATTTTGGAATCCAGTCGCGGGCCGGATTGAACGGCTCAGCGGGCCGCCAGTTGATGATCAGTGGTCTATGTCCTGAACTGCTGAGCTGCATGCTAGTGGTCTTCATCAGCCCCTGCAGTGCCCTGTACTGCTGTGCTCAATGATTCTGTAAAATTCTGTTGGCACTGAGGGTGACATCCCTCAGTCTGCCGTCCGACTGCTGAGGTGTCATGTGACTAGTGGGAGGTGTCAGGAACTTAAATCTGCTGGCGCACTCTACAGCAGTGATTCACAACCCATGAGTCGCGACCAAAATTTGGGTCGTGGCAGTTTCTGAATGGGTTCGCGAGGCAGAGTTGGAAATGTAAGCATTTTAAAACCAGCAAGCTGCTGATCAGATTTCCCAGCCCCAACCATAACCCTAACCTATATAAACGGGTCTCGGGTCTGCAAAGGCTTAAAACGCAAAACTATTGAACACTCAACCAATTCAAAAAATCAAACCAGAGATGCTTAAAATTCACTGGCACATCCAATCAGATTTGTGCCATAGGCATTGATTGGTGTACATTGCAGAGTGCACTGCACGCTTGATCATATTGTTCATTTAAACATAATATGAATATAATTTTGATATAGGGTTGTGACTGAGCTGGCATGGTAAAAGTTGAGGTTGAGAACCGCTACTCTACAGCATCCCCACCAGTGTGGATGGCAGTGCGCCAGTCTCTGTTGCCTGCAGTTGATCTAATCTTGCTGATATTTGGGAAGAGGTTCCTGACAGGCCAGTCCATAGTCATTGGTGATCAGACCTACGATGGTTGTGTCATTAGCACTAACTTGATTATGGCGTTGGAGCTGCCTGGCAGCACAGGCGTGGGTGAACAGTGAGGATAGCATGGAGGCTCAGTACACAGCCCTGTAGGATGCCAACGACCAAGTGGAAGAGGTGTTTCTGACAATCTGTACTCGCAAGGCTCTGCCACTGATGCAAATTGTGTACTAGGTCTAATAGCTGGTGATTAGTCTGGATAGGATTACTGTGTTAAATGTTGAGCAGAAGCCTACACATATATTTGGAGCAATTTATTGTGCAAGTTGTCTAGAGTGGTGTCCAGTGGTGTGGTCCTCTGGTGACCTGTGGTGGTGACACGTGGACTGGCAGGGATGCCAAGCCCCTCGCACACTGCTTGGGGTATCCAGCACCTGCCTCAGTGTTACTTAAAATGTCAATTGTAATATGGTATTTGAGTAATGGGGAAAGGGAAGACTTATATAGAGCCCCGGGGTTATTCTGGGTCACCCCTCCCCCACAGATGATTCTTTGTACGTATGGGCTACTGTCTTTGCCTCCAAGACCGAGAAAGCACACAGGAGTGATGCAGTGTAAACCTCCAGCCACAGTGCTGCCTTCCTGTCACGGCAGTCTGTGAACCACCCACAGAGGAGGTCATTAAAATTGATTTTGGGAATTTGCAGATCAAGACAGACATTGTGATCACTTGCAGTCGCCAATGGGCATCCTTGGTGCTTCCTTCAAAGGGTCTAGTTTGTTGTGTCCCCGCCCCCCCCTTTAATTGTGCTGAAAGCAGCCACGACATAAAGCCCAATGTTTTAAAGCACCTGCAATGGAAGTTACCGAAAAGTGGTGTTGGAATGTCCTAAATTAACACTTGGTATAATGCAGTGAATATTGTAATCAGTGGTGCTGTTTGATTAATCGATTGCTTATTTCCTCACATTTATAATTTATACAGCTGGGAATTTTTACTAATTTCTAAAAGGGACAAACTTCAGGCTTACGGCTGAGTCATCCCCTTAGAAGCTTTGTGTCCCTAATTGTTCTTGCCATTGTGATCCCCTTCTTAGCCTGTAGCTGAGGCTCCCTTCAAGTTTGAAATGGAACTGGATGACCTGCCTAAGGAGACCCTGAAGGAGCTCATCTTCACAGAGACGGCGCGCTTCCAGCCTAGCTTCAGGACCTAATTGGCAGGTGACAGCTAGGGGGCGCTCCTCTGCCACTCTGGGTTGGGGTTCAGGCTCTACATCATTTTATTTCTGCTATACACAGTTGAACACAGTTATAGGTTATTGCTCTACTAATTCATGTGTATGAGTACAAATTCCTATTCTCTGCCCTCATGTCATTCATCCCATCCCATCCCATCCCACCTTCCCAATGGTGGGTCACGCTGGCTGCACCAGGCCAGATCAGACGTCTTTTTCCATGACCACAGACTCTAGATCATCCTGTTGGAACCCTAGGCATCTCAAAGCCATCTGAGAGAGAATCCCTCCAGCATGTCTTAGGTTTTCTCCAGGACTTCCATCTAGTTGGACGTGCCCAGACCGGCTTTCTTGGGAGCAATCCAGGTGCCACTGATTCCTCTTGACCTTGCCTGATGAGGTCCCTCTGGATTTCTGAATTTGTCACCCTGTTATAAATGAGAGACCCTGTGAGGAAACCTTGGTTTACCTGCTTGCAGTCACAACCTTGTTTTCCCGGATGTTACACAGAGCTCATGACCATAGCTGAAGAGAGACATGAACTGAGGTAAATCGGATGCCTGGTCTGACTTCCCTCCTGTCAATCCCATGTTCCCTCTCACCATCAGTCCCAAACAACATACTGAGAAACATAAATTCTGACAATAAGGGAAAGAAAACAATCCACTCTTTTCCAGATGCACCGTGGCCTCAGATTTGGAGTTACTGATTCTCATCCTCATAATTCACACCAGGCATGGAAGTGCAAGCTGGAGGGCCTGGTCTGATGAGACCAAAAGCATGATGTCAGTAAATAACAAGGCTGTTGCTTTGCCTCAACATCCTCTCCATCTCAAACAGGAGTGAAGATCACCCATCCCAATAACATTCAGTGCTCTTGACATCTCTGGACAGATCTCATCTGCCCCTGCAGTTTTCCCCACTGTGGAGTCCTTTGACCACCATAGTGATTTCAACTGTAGACTGATCCACCAGATTACCAGTTTTCAACACTCAGTTCCGGGTTAGAAGGCAAATCTGCCAGGTTAAGGAGTCCCTCAAAGTGGACTTTCCACCACAACACTCAGCCACATAGAAGGAAGCCTCTTGTCTGCTGGGAAGACCTGCATCTGTTCAGCCATCAGCCTAGAAAAGTATAAATACTCACAAACCTCAGTCAAGAGCTCTGGTTCTACAGCTTGCTCTCTCTGGAAGTAAGGCCAGCTATGTCTAGCCATCTCCCGACGCTGGTTCTCCTTGGTAACTTTCTTTGTGTCTTTGTTGGGTCATAGTTTGCCTAGTCTCTCCCCACAGACCCCTCTGCCAGGAGCGTGGCTCTGTGGATCATCAAGGCACGTAAGCCCCTCCACCACACTAAGGCCACAGTCTGTGGAGGGCCGCCATCATCTGTCATCCATCATCATCATCATCATCATCATCATTTCATGTTTAATTCAATTCCACCGCCCTCCCCCTCCCCCACGGTGCTATTAAATTAGTTGTTTGAATCCACCAAACCTGTTGGTGGTCAACAAATGGCTTCAAATGTAGTAATGTAGTCTTTCACAAGATGCAGCTCGGCCCATTCCCTTGCCGTGTGCTTGGTCCTACGCCAATCAGGATAAGTAACACGGTGTATTCAGCCAGCTCACCCCCACCCACCCTTGCCGCCCTTACAGATCTCCCCTGGATGGATACAACGCCAGTGCTGCTGTCCTCCTCGCCAGCTTCTCTTCCAGAATGTGCTTTGGTTCACGTCTCGGCTCAACATAACTACCTTCCCGCTTGATCGCTCGGGAAGGGCATTGGGAATTATTCCCTCCCCACTCCCCCCCCCTTCTCTCTTTCTCTCTCTCTCTCTCACACTCACTCACTCTCACACACACACACACACACACACACTTGTTATCCTTTTGCCTGTAGCTTTGGCAGGTGGGGCCACTTCATTCTTTTTGGCTGTGGGGGGTGTCACTTGAAGAATGGCTTTGAGAATTATTATTATTATCATCATTCATCATCACCTACCGAAGATAAAGGGATATTACGGGATCTTAATAAAGCACTTATGGAACATCCCACCTGCAGCTTTCCTAAACTTTCCATAAACCCCTTTTGACTGTAGCCAGGCTGCTTGTAATGTGGTGTCAGTGCTGATCTGCAAATGTCAGACAGAATATTAAGCCTCCATTTCGATTACAGACACAAGCACTTACCTGTATAAATGGGCAGCCAGGGAGGAGCATGTACTTAACACTGCTTGGTGCTAAGGAGTCCCACCCCCTAAGTGACAGCACCTACTACTAAAGGGCTCCCTTATACCAGCCCGAAACAAAGCCAGCCAGAGCCTAAAACTCCCCCGTTGTGTGGCAGTAGGCTGCCAGCCTCGTCCACCTCTCGTTCCGAACCTTTAGTGTCATGTTAGCCTGTCAGCTGTTCTCCTAAGCAGTCTAAGTCGCTGCCCTGTAAGTGTGTTTCATTATGAAGATTTTCTGTTCTTCCTCAGGCTCCAGCATTTCACATGAGGTAATCTACAGTAAGTTACTACAGCAGAGCCCTGTTTTACAGCTGTTGTGATGACTAGCTTGCTTTAATACCAAGGCAGGCATAATCAAACTGTGTTTTTGCACATCTTATAGTTTGCCGTTAGTATACCGACCTCCCCCCCCTCCCCCCCGGCCACCCCAGCTTTGCGTTGTTGCCTGAGGGTCGTAGACCCATGGAGGCTTTAAACATGCGCATGTAGTTTCGCAGTGTGGAGCTTTGGCCTGTCCTCTCCTCCTGTGTGTGTATCTCACACACAAACACATACACACTCTGTCTGTCTCTCTCACTCTCTCTCCCCCCCCCCCCCCCCCACCACCACCTGCCCCCCGTAGTGAGTCGACCTCTCCCACCTTGTGACAATTGACTGAATTGACTGCCCTTGCATGACTGTTAAAGCTTTCTATACAAAGACTGTGTAAGTGCCACGTTGCTGGCCCTTCCACTCGGGAATCTCGGGCTCCCCGTCCTCTACCTGATTTGTGCTCTCGGTGCTTTCATTTACAGCCTCCCCCCCCCCCCAAGAAATAAAGCAAACATCCCTCCCATTCTGTCCTTTCGACTTTGATTTGGAAGGTGAAATTTTAGACAAAGCTTACCGCCAGACAATGTTGGGCATTGGCCTCAGTTTAGGATGAAAATGTTTTTGTAGAGAAAACAGAATCTTGCTGCAGGTCTTAAAAACACCCTCTGTTTACATGATCAGACCTGTAATTCAGCAAGTTGTTACCTTTTTAAATCACAACTGAAATCTTGGAGGGATACTGGTCTTATTGGACTTCATAATGGGCATCATAGGCTAAGACATGGTAGAACTGGAAGCGTGACTCCTCTGGGCTGATTAGTGTCTGCTTTGTGGTTTTGTCGCGCTGCAATTCTGAAAATATCTGCAATGGCTTGTTCTCTTGGATTGGACGGTTTTGTTGGGATTTTCATTCTTGACAAGCCAAAGGCTCTGCTTCCTTTCTGAAGGCAAATGAGAGGCTCATTCAATCACCTACTAGAGGAATAGCCATAAATGATCAAATGACGGTTTGTGAAGCGGTTTAACTGTTCCTTTGCCTTGTATCCTGCATTTCCCGGAAAGCAAAAGCTTTGCTTCCCTGTATTTTTGCCCTAGAGTACTGACTGTGCTCCATGCATTCAGTACTGTGCCATTTCAATGGAGTCTGTCCAGTCAGTCTATCTTAGGGTCACTGACTGGGTGCGAGTGGGAGGCTAGTTCTCTAGAAACACACTGCAAATTCTCTTGTAAGATAAGCTTCTGCTGAATCCATGTGCAACCTGTCTGGTTTTGTGCCTTTATTAGTCTTGTATAACAAGATTTATTGCGTGCTTTGTTTAGTTGGGGATCAGTTGTGATTGCAGTTTTATTCTTTAAAAAGAGAAATCTTTATTCTCACCATTATGTAATTAAAGAAAAGTTATATTGCCACAGCTTTGTGATTGTTATTCTATATTGAATAGGTAAGAGATGGAGCATTTTTTAATTATATTATTTTCCCCCTGCTCCCCCACCTTATATTTTTGGATGCTTTGTGTAAAACCTTTTTTTTATTGTAAAATGAATGTTTTGTTTCTAGTGAATATTAATCTTGTTAAATAATTGTTTCCTTGTATTAAACTACTCCTCTGTACAATTGTGCTGCTTGGGATTTTTTCTTTCCTAACTTTCATTTAACTTCTAAATGTTTGTATTTCACCAGCCTTATTCGTGACAGTGCAGAGGGATGGGAATACTATAGCAGCTGCTGAATTTGCTTTGAGGAAAGCAGTGACTTCCCTTCCTTATCGTACCACTGCAGATCCCCCATGTAGTTGATGATCCCATGATCCAGTGAACAAATTATTCCTAATATTCTATGTAGAAGTTAAATATACTAAATTTATTCATATTTGTATTGTAGTCATGTGACTTCTGAATTTTAAACACCCAATGAATATAGTGAATGGTTTTTCAGTGTCTTTTGCAGTTAAGCCTTCAGCTATGACAACTTTAGGTAATTCAGGTATATATGAGACAACCAAAGATAATCAACAAACTTTAACACCAAGAATTAGACCTGAAGCAATTTTTTCCTGTTGTGTAAAAAGGATTAAGCAGCAGAAGAGACATTTCTAAAATGAAGGTGAATTTTATTATTGTAAAACTAACTAACCAGTTTTGATATGGTCATTTATAGACGCTAAAAAAAGAAACCAAGGTTCCAGTGTATTTGTTGTTTGGAGAACTAGGCCTCTTTCTGATTCTGGCGTGCGTTTCCTGATAACGATGATTCCCAGTGTCTTATGAAGAGTAAGATATGGCATTTCTTTTGCTGCATCTGTTTCTTGAACAGTCTCTGAAAGGAGAGCTTCTTAGGAGCGACCTTAACAGGCACCAAAACACCTGATTGGTTCACATCGATGGCTTGAGAATTGATTATTCCCTCTACACAGCAATTGCTTGACTCGCATGAGAGAAAGTGATGTTCTTTTTAAATATAATACTGCAGGAATGCTTCAAAATGTGGCATTCCTCAGAACTGGGGAGAACCTAAAAATAAAATGCAAAATTAACTAAATTAACAACTTGAATCATCTAATCGTAAATATGATTTTCGCCAATTGGGTCCCCAGATTGTAGTATCACCAGTTTATTTTATTTGTGCGTGCACCAATATTGGGACGAGCAATGGCCAAGTAGCCGAAAGAAAGTTGCATTACTGTCTTAACATAAGATAATGTCTTGTGTGCTTCAGTATTGCCAACTAAGCACTATCCCTGGGACCTTTTTGGGGAAAAATGTATTAAACTTTCAAACTGGATTTAAGGAAGCACTTCTTTACACAGCGTGTAGTCAGAGTATGGAATAGTCTTCCTGATAATGTAGTGCAAGCTGAATCCTTAGGTTCCTTTAAATCAGAGCTAGATAAGACTTAAACAACTCTGAGCTATTAGTCAAGTTCTCCCCAAGCGAGCTCGATGGGCCGAATGGCCTCCTCTTGTTTGTATAGTTCTTATGTTCTTATGACTGTAGTCACGTATCAGACAATCATTTTATCATGTGGACCATTTATTTTTTTAGCTAAGTGATGTTTGGTTATCAAACTGTACCCTTAATGGTAGTGTTATTTTAAATGAACAGTATGAGCTAACAACAGCGATAAGAGACTGCTAAGAGGCTCAGACCAATCTTACAAAAGTATATCTTACGGAAGATATATTTGACTAAGAATGTTTCAGGAAACACATCAGAGCGTTAAGATACAACTTAAGGTAGAACTTGCAAACAATGTAGCAGTTTTGGAAATGCACCCCTGGATCCCAAGCATTTTAGGGTGCTGCAGAAGGGAGAATTCTGCCGTTTCAGAAGGTTAATCTGTATATGCAAAGGGTTTAATCAAGTATCACCTGTGATACACTCACTAGTAATGAGGGTGCGGAAGCATTTGCCAAGATTGGGGTCCATTGATGAATTTGAACATTCTGCAGATCATGCTGCCTGCACCAGTCGGTGAGCACCTGAATCGTTCCTTTGAAAAGCAAAGTAGAGAGGAACACGAGTCAATGGCTTGTGCAGACTTGCACTGCTGGAATCCTGAATCCCATACATGGTTAAACATAAAATCTTATTCACAAATATCCCGTTTTGAGTGTTTACTACCTCTCTGAGTTTAAAAGGTAAGTACTCTCAGTGACACCATCCAGTGACATTCTGAAAGAAGTTTAACTCGCCACCTTGAAGATGTTCATTTTTTGTATGTGGGGAACATGTACTCAGTACAAAGCTTTTCAGTTGTGTTTAAGTTGTATACTGTAGTATACTGATAACTTGTTACCGGTCACGGTCTTAATGGAAAATGTAATAAAGGCTGGCCGAGCATAATCCTTATCTGTGAAATGAGCAAAGGCTGGAGTGATCCCATAGTCGCATCCCAGAGACTGCCAGCCCGCTGCCAGCCTACACCAGTTTCTGCACAAAACATCTCTGCCAAGATGATGCCCTGCTGGATATCTTACTCCTGAAAAGGTGACTCGGCAAGCATTTAGAGTAATTCAAGACAAAAGAAAGTGGGATATTTTTATGGTGTGGCTTTGAAGCTGTATGGATAGAAGTTTATCATTGTCATTTATACCAATGTCATATCTATTAGAGTTGCATCAATACCGCCAGTATTAAATTGTGATTCAGTTTGCCACTATTTTTCATTGACATTTTGAAACTTTGCATCAATTTCCTAATTTATTGCAGTTTAACACTGGCGGTACAGTTGAATGTTTTATTAAATTTTTTCTACATGACCAAGTGCACTATGATGCAAAAATGCAGTGAAGTGTCCTCCTCTGAAATGCTGAAGTACAAGTCAGATGTTTCTTTGTCTCCCCCCCATTTATGATCTTAAAAATGTCTACTTGGTTAGCACAAAGAAATGCATGCTTTGTGTGACTGGGAGCTATTTGGTATACTGACTTTATTCAAGATACTTAGCTAAAGGTTGTTAAAGCCGATTAATTAAATTTGGCTTGTAAGTTTTAGTAGTTCCATTATTTCATTATTAGAGTTTACGATCAGGATACAATAGTAATATTGCGACACATTCAACCATAACACTGGTATTGTGAAAATTATTGTATGATTGGCTAGTTGGTAATACCCAGCTCTAATATTTATGTACTCAGAGATGCAGTGGTGATTCCTGCAGCTGCCTTCTGCTAGGTTTGAGCACTGCATCTGGGGTCTGTCCTGTATCTGCAGACAGTAAGCCCTCTGACCGGCCTGTAAAGTGGCTTCTGACAGCTGAGAATTTGGCAGGGAGTTAAAAATGGATGTTGCCGATGCTGACTGTCGCTGTCGCGTCGCCGTGGCTTTTCATAATGCCAGTCTAATTACAGCCTTGCTGCCCTTTATTGCTTTATCTTCCAGTCTGCAGCTCTGTCCGTAGGCTTTTTATGTAACATCTCTGTGCCAGATTTGTTTAATGCCCATTATTTCAGCTTGACCTGGAATGTATGGATGCAGGTATTACATTCGTGTTCTCTCCTTTACATATCTTCCAAATATATTCAAAAGTCAAACATGTATGATATAATGCAGGTGAATCCCAGACATCTTTTGGTCGCTTGGTAGCCTTTCTCTTCTGTTAGGCCTGTTGCTTGTATAAATTTTGCATAGGCCTGCAATGCTGAATAGTAGAAGAAACACAATGTAAATAACAAAAACCAAGTTGATCCACCTTAAATTAAACTGTTTACTCGTAGTGCTCTCATTTCACCAACATGATTTGGATTATCTAATGGATTATCATCACAAGTAAACATTTAAAGTTAATGCCAGGAAAATATAAAACATAATGATTTTAACACTGGATAAAATAAACACCATAAACAATCTATGGCTTCTATAATTTGCCAGAAACCTTCGGTCCAGAGACCTGCTTTCTATACAGTCCTCTTATTTTGATTATAATTACTCTAATAATTTTTTTAGTAAAATATTTTCTTACGTGCTGCACACGTTTTCTGCATACCAGTAAAGATAAGTGTCCACCATTAGAAATTTCCCAAAAAAGTTTCATGAAGCCCCTGCAGTATAGTACAGTATGTTTTCATATAAAGCTTTACTAATTTTACAAACTTTATTCCATTTTGACAGTATTATAAAGTGAAATGTCGATTGTGTTTTGGCCATTTTAGCCTTTCATTACCCGTGGTTGGCACGGAAATGACGAGGCGCTCCTCCCTGGGCACTAGCTCACATGAATAGGAAATACAAAAGAGAGGAGAGAGGAGGAGGAAGAGGAGAAGAAAAGAAAATTGCGGTTAAGCTAATTTGCCTGCTGTTTAGGACTGGTTGCCGTGGTAGCTTGCTGTCCTTGACTACGGCCAGCTGCATGTTGTTTTAAAGGCCGCTGCTGGCGGTCAGCATTCATTTACATTTTCGCATTACAGTTAAACCTCGTTAGTACATCTTTATAATGCCATCCATGGCTTGTGGAACGCTTTGAGATTACTCACTATAGAATACATTATATAAATTATCCATTGCTGGTTTATTTTGAGAGTGATTGTACCTCCATTTTTCTTTCATAAGATCCATCAGAGGTATCACAACAGGTTGTAAAGTGAAGCCATTTCAAACACATATTCATTGTCTGGGCTCTCAGACCTGGCATTCACTCTTATGCCCGGCTCTAGGCCAACGTGCATTGGCAATGAACCCTGCTCTCCAGCAGGTGGAGTAACCAATAAAGGCATGAACTTTTGGGGGTTCAAAGTTTCTTTGTCATTTTTGTGTGAATGACAGAATAGGGACTGCCAACTTTTCCTAGAAATGTCCTGATGTGGGGGCGGGAGTTAACATACCAGTACAAGTGGATTCTGCTCCAGAACCAAGGCATTAAGTTTTAGTTAGCTTGCTGTGTTATGGATGTCAAATCTAGAACTAGCTTAACTAACTTTTTCTGGCAAGTTACCGAGCTAGCATTATTGGCCATAATTTCTATGTGACACAAAGAGGTCATTTTACTAAAGGCATGACTTGCATTAACAGCGAAACTACAGCAACACAGCATGAAAATGTTGTGCTAACATGTATACTATTGTTACTTTTCATTTTTAGTAAAATGACCTCCCCCTGTCACTTAGAAACTGGACAGTA